ATAAAATTTGGAGGTGGCAAAATAAATCGTGGCTTCTTCCGATTAACTAAATTCGTCACGTAATTCATCGATCTTTCTACACCAATCAGTTATTGTCTGTCATCGGGATCAAAAACAGGGACCATATCTCCTCGTACTGGTGGGACAATAGCTCTTTCTCGTTGTGCATTTACGGCATTTGCCTCTACCAGCGTAGCATTGCCGCTGTGAGTCTATCCACTGACGCAGATGGTCACTCGTATGCGAAGAACTCCGACGCCGGGAACGTGACGAGTCTGCTCGGGCAGCGACGCTAGAAGCTGGTACTTCCAAAGGAAGCGGTCTCTTACGACAGAGCCGGGCAAACTCGGATCTTTTACATCCCGAGTGATCCTCAAGGTTAACCAAGTAGCTCCTCATTGATCCTGCGAGTGTGAGTGAGATGATTCGTTCCTTTTCTTATCCCTTCCATTTCGTAGATGAGTCCCCTCTTCCATAGCCAAACCCAATAGTTTTGCGAACGTAGTAACGAAAATTTTCGTAGGTATTATTTAAGTTGCGAGAGTGGCTTTCGCTCGTCTACGGGATGAAGGGGCTTGATTTGGGAGTGGAAGGGAGAAGAAAAAGACAAAACAAAATTATTCATTATTGCTTACTCTCTCGTACTCATTGAAGGGTATGGAGTGACTCAAACTAACCTCATGTAGCGGCTCCTGCGAAGTTAAAGTTTGCCCGGCTCTGTCTTACGCCTTACGGTGTGTAGTCATTATTGTTTTTTTGATAAATATGTTTATTGAACAAAATATAGTAGAGTTTACAAAGCGTTTATCTCTCTACAAAGGAAGCTTTATAAACATAACAAAAATATTTTCCTTATAGTATTGTTAACAAATGTTAACAAAAGCCATTAGGCTTTTGAAGCTGCGCGTAGCTCTTCTTCTTAACAATCAGATTATTGGCAAGCCAGCAAATATTTTGGCTGGCCTTATTCTGTTTCCAATGATAAAATATTGGTATATTATTATGCTCCTGAATGAGACCATGGTTGTCGCAATATGTAAAAGCTTGAGGAGGAATTTCACCTGCTGAAAAACATTTTGCCAAGGTATCATCACTGGTACCAATGATCATGTTGATTAATGGATTGTCGATTATCTTACATCTGTTGTAAAAATCTCTCGATTGCTTTATAATATGACAGTCAATCCCAGGAATTCGTGCTCTTTCATATAATTCGAGGTTGCTAATTGCGTGTAGTCATGACAAGTTTTGATGACTATTCTTTTTTGTATCATAGAAAAGGAAAAATAAAAGCTGTAGCAACAAAAATTTGCCTCATTAACTTGAGGTAGTTTGTAGTAGATGGAAAATTGAAAATGAATTTTCACATTAAGATTTAGTTTAGTATTGTTTCCGCCGCAGTTGGTCCAGCTGGTCGTCTATATTGGGATAGTGTTGCTTCACGGTGATCTTGTTTAAAGCACAATAATGCACGCACTTCGTTCACGTGCATCCCCAACGCCTCGTGTTGATCACACTTCAACACCATCAGCATTCCCTGCCGATTGACTGTAGATGCGATTTTTATTGTTAATATAGAGGATGATATTTTTCACCTATTATATATATATATATATATACACCAATTGCCTCACAGCTATTTCCTCCTACCGCTTTACATAGCAACCAGTGGGTTCCCCTCGAGTGTTTCATCTTGCGAAGTGGCATGCGGCAATGAATGTAAAACAACATGTAAGGAAATAAACAAAACCCTCAATTAGAACAATACAATGCGATAGGTAGTTTAAACACTTACGCCGGCCGACTCCCCAGCTGGGGCCACTGCATTGGTCGAATGCATAGATCGCTTCCAATGCTTATCTTTACATTGGCAAGCTATGTGTAGAGACTTATCCCTCTACTGGACGCCCTTGTGCCGATATCACCGCAGCTTTACCGACACTCAGGCCATTGCTGTATACGGCAGGTCAAGAAGTGGACTTCTACTCTCATTAACACGTCACCCACAGGTGCACTGCCACTCCAGGCATACCTAGCTAGATCTGCAGTGGACTACCTGGCCCACAGGATTTACACTCCACCTAAAGGTACATCCAACCTGTCGGCCGTTCGCCTTACACTTCTACTACAGGCCTTACATTTCAACAATAACAACAAAAACACTTATAATACATAATATGTGCATGTAAGATTTAAGATTCTTTAATAATAAATCAATGAAACGAGCAATGGTTAACAATAATATGCGTGTATTGCCACTTCGAAAAATACAGTGTTCTTTCTATAACAGCAGCTTGATCGAGAATGCCAGAGCAAAGGAACTATTGAACATGATTGAATTTGTATTTTATTGAATGTAATGCGTCACTGGACTCGGTGGTTTCCCAGGAAATCAACATCATATCAGTGCGGCTGGTCGGCGCCAAAACCATAATAAAACCAGGAGGCTGCGTTGCCAGATAGGACGCGCTCACATGCACAATACAACACCAACTTTATCAATATTATCAAATATTAATTGCACCTTACTCTTTCACCAAAGTAACCACTTCCCTTACGACATCATACTCTCTCACCATAGTAACCACCGCCCTTAAGGCGCTTTACACGTCCTTACACGCCGACCACCACTTCACCACTGACTTTAACTTAAAAGCCCTTCTCCAACGGCCCTCTTTGGTTTCATTCTACATATATGTCATTAATATTTGGTTAGCCCAAATAGTAAATAAATGCCGAATAAATAACTTTCCTACATGACTTTTAAGCCCTTTAACACCCCGTACTGATTGATCTTCGACAGCACGTCCATATTCAAAACCCACTAAAATTCTGCCGGTGGCCATCGTGACTTTATTTCTCCCAGAAATCCAAAACTCGAAAAGTGATATGCGGAGGTGGTAAAATCCCCCTTCTGATAATTGTTACGAATTTTTCCCTTATTAAGAAAAACAAAGTGTAAGTGAAAACTTTTATTATCGAGGACATGTTTATAGTACAAAGTTATACCAACTACTCCTTTTATATATTTCTTTCATTCTCACCGATCACGCCATGTAACTTAACAGTCGCGCCATAACGATTCATTCACACGTGTACAATTTTTCATGTTTTATAAATCAAAAATTTAATAACAAACATAAAACTATAACATACCCAAATATACTTATATATATATATACAAATGATTTCAAATTAAGTAATATTATAAACTCGGGCGTGTCGTATATATAAAATTAGTTGTGAGAGCTTTGATGCTACATATCTATATGTATATTGGACAAACGATGAAATTTTGACATTATGTAGGTACTGACAGATCAGTACTGTGTGAAAATAAATAAAAGTAAAACTAAAATATTGGTATGCAAGGGAAGAAAAAGTAGGAAAAGAGCAAATATAAAAATAGGAGACGAAACATTAGAAGAAGTGGCTGATTTTAGATATCTATGAAGTCAGATAAGTCAGGACGGAAGGAGTAGTTGGGATATAATGCAGAGGATAGCGCAGGGTCGTGTCGCCATTAATAAAAAGAAATCACTTCTATGCTCGTGAACGGTTAATTTAGAAAATCGAAAGAGGTTGTTAAAGTTGTATGTTTGGAGCGCGGCGTTATACGGGTGCGAAACATGGACAGTGGGCGCGGAGGAAAAGAAAAGGTTAGAAGCGTTTGAAATGTGGTGTTATAGGCGAATGATGAGGATAACATGGGCAAAAAATGTTAGAAATGAAGAGGTATTAGAAAGAATAGGAGAATAGAGGACTCTATGGTCAATAAGAAATAGGCGAGATAGGTTGGTAGGACACCTTTTCAGACATGAAGGCCTAGTCAGGGACATATTAGAGGCAGAAGCAGGAGTTAGAAGGGGTAAAGGTAGGCCTACATTAGATTACTGTTCGCAAATAGTTAAGGATGTGGGTTGTTCTAGTTTTAGGGAATTGCGAAGTTTAGCTCAGGATAGGAAAGAGTGGAGATACGTGTCCAACCAGTCTTAGGATTGACGATCTTATGATGATGATGATGATGTAGGTTAAAAGAGAATAAAAAGAATCCATTACAAATAATACACTACATCTAGTTTAACACAACACAGCATTTTTAAAATGGATGGCATATTTTTGAAGAATGTATGAAAAATAATGTAACGGGTGTGTGTACAGAGGCATTAAGTATATGATGGCAACAGTATGACCTTATTAAAAGGGATGTCAGAGAGAACAGAAAGGAAAAAGAAGGATAATAAAAATAAGTAGTAGGGGATTTGCGAAAAATGTAGAGGTATTGTTCTGCATTTTCATAATCATTCTTGGAGCTACTATATGATGAACGTTTAACTTTTTTAGTGGTAGTTTTAGTTGATATTTGCCTGTAAAATAATTTTTGGTTGAATAAATACGTCGTTGCTAGATATTAGTAGTGCCTTTATGTTACATATTATTATGAAATAGTGTCTTTTGTCAGAAAGTATTTCAAAATGTGTGGGAGGTACTTCTTTGTTAAGTGTGTTTGACGCTGAAGTTAATTGCCATACGGCTCAGACCTGTACCCAATTATTCCATTTAATACTGTAAAACGCATTGTCTTGGGTTTTATTTTATTCTACATGAAATTGTAAACTATTTGAAGAAGTATAAACTGCTGGTAAACCGAAGTTCTTAGGCATATACCTATTAAGGATAAACATCGTGTGATTCATATTTCCTTTCCTTATTTCCATCCATTTAGCTGGATTTTACGATGGTTTTTGTTTTCATGAATTTAAATTTGCAATATACTCAATATGTGTTTTCCACTTTAACTTTCAAATGACTGTATTTGGCGGTTTTCAATGTATCTTAATTCAACGTAGAGATAGTTGGTTTTTGTAAAAGTTCATCTTTGAATCCACATTGCTTTCGTAAAAATATTTGTTTTGCATTAAAAATTTAACACATTTCAACGCCTCGACGTACCTACAAAAACCGCAGATTGCAACATTATCTGCATTCACAGAACTTTCGTATATTTCACTTACCAAAGACGCGATTCTGGTATCGCATCGGCGCATTCGTTGCCTGTAAAAAAAGAGAACCGTATAAAGCGTTAGAGTATCGTGGTGTAGCAGTCGTAATATCCACGTTTCAAACTTCAGTTTTCAACTGTTCGCTCTAAGGACTTCTCGAGCTTCGAAAAGTCAGTGTTTGTTTGTTTAGCGCGACGGACGTGTTTGAAAAGCTGCTTGTTAATCGCAAATAGATTTGAAGAAAACTGTTTTACCCAGCAAGAAGAAAAGTAAGTTGTTTGTTTTAGTTTATAAATAAAGTCTTACAGAGAAAAAACTTGTTTCGCAAAGTTTTCGGTTGCTCTATAATCTATATTAATTCTAAATTTTGGGAACAACGTTAGGTGTTACTTTTGAAATGTTAAGCGGAAGTAATTATCAATATTTATTTAATCAAAAGCAAAAAGGGGGAAACGGACTGCGCCAGGTAAATTTACGTTCACAGGACACCTTTTACCTGTGTTATTAGAATTCGAGAAGATAAAAGTGCTTTTGATCTAGGATTTTTCGAAAAATTTTATAATATTTAAGTTGACAACTAAGTTATATAAAATAGAGTCTACGGTTACTTGGTTAAAATTGTTGACCAAGCTAAGAAAATAAAGTCAAAACAAAGTTTTCAATAGATACCACTTGACAGTATTGTTCCCCAAAATTTTGGCTTCTTCAGAACTTCATACCGAACCTTAACATAGAATAGGTTAAATCAAATTATGTACTATTTGTATGGTAGAACAGGAAAACTTAACTCAACCCAACTCTGTTTGTTCCTTTAGTTGTAAGTATCTGATTACTTTTAAATATATAAATTTAGTAGATAAGTGATTCCGAAAAACGTGTGTTATTAACTGTATGGGTGAGTTTTCGGAAAATCAAAAACGTATGTTTAGTACTTATTACTGATAGAGAAGGTAAGAAATGAAGAAGTATTAGAAAGAATAGGTGAACAGAGGACTCTATGGATGCCAATAAGAAATAGACGGGGTAGGTTGGTAGGACACCTTCTCAGACACGAAGGTCTAGTCAGAGACATATTAGAGGCAGAAACAGGAGTTAAGAGGAGTAGAACTAGATTAGATTACTGTTCGCAAATAGTTAAAGATCTGGGATTCATTTTCATTGTTATATGGTATGGTTTTGCCTCTGTTTCACCTTTTTCACCACTTCCTTCCATTTATTTCTATATCTTACTATTTGTTTCCAATTCTTAATGTTCATTCCTCTTAGGCCTCCTTCTACCTCATCTAACCTTCTTCTTCTAAGTCTTCCTCTTGCCTTTTTACTTCATGCTCCATTCTGTAACGTGTCCTAGTCGTCTAACCCTTTGTGTTTTTATGGTCTGAACAATGCCTTAATTTTTCAGGAATTGGGATATTTCCTTGTTTGCCCTCCTACTTACTAAATTTTATGCTATTTTTACTGATCCCAGGATTTCTCTCATTGTTTTCCTTTTTTTTTGTGCCAGTTGGTATTTCTGCGTTAAAGCCATTATTTCTAAAACGTAGGTCGTAATACGTTGTATTGTTGTTTTGTATATTTTAAGTTTAGTTTGAAGGGGTATTTGTTTATTTTTTACTGTATTATGTATGCGTGCTCTAAATGCCGACTTCCTGCCGTTTGTAAATAACCAGATACTAATTACTATTAGTTCTTCTGCGTTACTGGTCAGTTACGACTCAGCACCTGCCTAGTCACCACTGAAGATGTCGTCAGCAAAGAACGGCGAAACGTTTGGAAAAGTAAAATTCCACGGACCACGGCCAAAAAGCCCGGAAGAAAACACCGGACCAAATACTAATTAACAAGTAAACAGCATTAACATTTAAGTTCATTGTATAACTTCTGAAGAAGCTAAAGTTTGACGAAACAGTACAAATTAATTGTTTATATTCTTCACTCAATTATGTTATTTTATATAAAACACTATAACCCAAAATTTAACATAGGTAAAACGTTTAGAAATTTATTACACGTCTTGACACCGAAAAGTGGCATTCTCCGTTAGAGACTGACAATTTTTTACTCTAACTCTCTAACCTAGTGACACCTTGGATGTTGATGCGGGTAGTAAGTTTTTAAAAGTTTTATATTTAATTTTGGGTTGTAGTGTTTTATTTGTTTCAGTTTTATAGAATCTAGTTTTTAGTGTTGAAAACACTACTTGGGTTGTTTAAATGTGATCTATATCATGAACAATAAAATTGTCGAGAGACAGATATGGCAGAAGGTTGCTAGGTCTATTACTCTAAGTCACAAGTAAATGTAAATAAACACTTAAAGGATAAATATTCGATGGCTGAATCATGTCGATGCGTTGTGTCTACTAACACAGGAATCTGGGCTCCTTTAGGCTTTGTTACATGTGGTTGTTGTCTGTCCTTGGTTTAATTAATGGAAATTTCCGAAAAAAGTCACTATGGCGTACTACATGACATAAATGCTTGAATGGTGGCTTCCCAAATTTCAATCCCGAATCGCATTGCTTTAGACTTTATCGATCCATTTTTTGCCATAAATAAATCTTGCGAATGTACCAAATTCCCATAAAAATGCGAAATTTATGTAAAAAGCGATTTACTAATGAATAATTAAAGTTTATACGCGAAATATGGTCAATATTCTGCGTATAAACATAATTGACTTGTGAACAATAATTTGAATTTCATACTAACAAACTTTATGTAATTTTGGATCAAGACTGGTCTGGAGGTGCTTTCGGGTATGTAATCACGTCTCCCTTTTTTCTGAAAAAATAATAGTTCCTTCTTATAGTTCGCATAGGTCTAGGTCGACGGGAAGTACCCTATAGGCTATAGGTTTTGATTCCCTTGCGAATGTCAAAATATGCGGCAAAAGCGGCAGTATCTTTTGATTGCGTTGACAGAAGTTTGATTTTTGTCTTAGCTCCAAAGAATTACTGATTATTATTTGGTAATAATTTCAACTTGATACCTCTCTGCCTTTCTGAAAAAACAAGGGTTTTGACAAACAGACAGGCCGACAACGAAACGATCCTATAAGAGCTTCTTTTTTCCTATTGAGGTACGGAACTCGCTGTAAAAGCCACAAACGATTGTAGAGCGAAAAATTTGATTATAACGCGTTGTCGCTGTTTAGATTCGTCTGTTATACAAAATGCGTTCTGGCAGAGTATGTACATTTACGGAGGCCACAACGAGAGATTTACCTACAGGCATTATGACGATTTAAACACTTCACACGAAAACTGCGTCACTATGCTTTCCGATCGATTGCTTATGAGTCAATGATTCGATCACAAAAAACTTCAATAATTTTAAATTTATTTTATAAACGAAACGTTATTACATTTATCAGTTATTAACAACTGCCATTTCGATACTTTGTGATTTCTTCAGGAGATATAAAAGTTCTTGAATTTAATATGGGGCACAAGTGAAAAAGTTTTATGCCATGTTCGCATGAGAACGACTGAGGATATTGTCGCCCGAGGGTGAGTTGGACAATCACATTAGTTATCGTACAAACGCTGCATAAGTTTGTAGGGCGTGCAGTATCCTTGTATCCCCACGCGTATCTCAACATATTAACACTCTTGACGCGAACTTCATTTATTTCAAAATAATTTCAATTTCAATTAAATTGATAACAGCAATTTGTTTGACAGTGCCGTTAGTCGTTGCCAATACGCCTGATATCTTATCGTTTTACTGGTATTACCTAACGTTCGTTGCTTTACAGCGACGTGCCTCCATTTGCTCTAATTTTTTCAAACTTAAGACTTTTGTTTCGCAAAGGTTCATTATTTATCTATTAATGTTAGATAGATACTATTCGAATAATTAGAAATTTTCTCAAAGAATTTAAAAACGAGAAACACTGGATAAAAAACCGACAATTGTTTCGACTCATAAGTCATTATCAAAAGTACGGATAATATCAAACCATTTTATTTCAGTAATAGTTTGTGTAGGTACTCTTGCTATTGACTTTTCAGTCGAAATAATTGTCGAGTGTTTATTAAACTTCTTGTTGAAACAGTATACTCTTTTATTATTTTATTAATAACATGTTTCATCACAGCACGCCCGTAATTAGTTTTAATATTAGGAAACACTGGCTTTGTTTCACCAAAAGATTTATTGCTCTCTACAGTATTGTTTCGCTTTCGACCCTTTCTCGAGTCATTCTCAAGAGAGAAGTTTTGCTGCAAAATTAAGGTATACTTATAAACACATATACCTATACTAATTATTATTGTACCAATAATAACGTATATACCTAAAGTTAAACAGGTAATTATTAAGTATTCGGGAAGGTCACTAATAAAATAAAGGTGAATCTGGATAGACAGTTCAATTTGGTTTTTAACCATATTTTGTTGATTTTTTTTTTATAAAGAATGGGGTAAAGTTAATTTGGGACTTTTTTGAATATCTTAATATGTACATAAAAATGTGCTAAACCCATTCTTTTATGATGTGTACTAGGATCAAGGAAAGATATATCGAAAGCGCGGGTGAAAAAAGGTAGCAAAGTTTGTATGGAACATTTTTCTTTGTGGTCAGATTTACTTGTGTAAGATATATTTATCAAAAAAAGGAAAAGCAATATACAGGAGCTATTTTACAAAATAAAATTAAAACGGATTGTTAAATGGAAGATGCCTTAGTACCTACAAGGTGACACGACGTGCGAAATACCTGGAACAAAACAAAAGTATGAGCGACCAGTTCGCGCAAATGTCATTTTTTTTATATATCTTCATCAACGTAGGCTTTTCTGTACATCGTGTCTGTCACCTAAGAGTGCTAAACTACTAACAACAAAAAAGGTACCATCCGGTGCAACGGAGTCAGTGGTAAAAATAAAGTAATGGGTGAAAGGATTTTAACACACTGTGTGGCTCAAACACTCCGTCAGGTAATTAATGATTAAAGGATTTAACACGCTGTGTGGCTCAAACACCTCACAACAGCACGCTGTACGGCTCAAACACTCCACAACAGCACCCTGTACGGCTCAAGCACTCCGTCAGGTAATTAATGATTAAAGGATTTAACACGCTGTGTGGCTCAAACACTTCACAACAGCACGCTGTACGGCTCAAACACTCCACAACAGCACCCTGTACGGCTCAAGCACTNTGAATCTGGATAGACAGTTCAATTTGGTTTTTAACCATATTTTGTTGATTTTTTTTTTATAAAGAATGGGGTAAAGTTAATTTGGGACTTTTTTGAATATCTTAATATGTACATAAAAATGTGCTAAACCCATTCTTTTATGATGTGTACTAGGATCAAGGAAAGATATATCGAAAGCGCGGGTGATTAATTAAATTAATAATGATTAAAGGATTTAACGCGCTGTGTGGCTCAGACACTCCACAACAGCGCCCTGTATGGCTCATGCACTCCGTCAGATAATTAATAATATAATTAAAAGATTTTCGCTAACGGCTTAAACACTCCGTAATAGCGTCACTTCTTAATGAGAATTGCACAGCTCAGGTACTTGGTTTCTAATCTATTTAATGAAATAAGGCAAAAATGCCAAAACAATAAAACGTAAATCAAATTAGCAAGAATTTAGTAATTCTGATATTTAGATGAACATGGTAATGCTCTGTGAATAAACTCACCGGTAATTGTTGATTATTTCCACAACTATAACAATTTATTTATTTGAATGTTAGTTTTAATGTACATTGATACAATTGAAGAAATACGTATTTTGGATTCTGATACTCGAAAAAACGTCGATACTAGGAGAATAAAAATAAATTGCAAAAATTTCTATACCCGCGTTTAACTTGCATCTTTAAAGTAGGGTAACAAAGTTTTTTTAGACGTAGAGTTTATTCGAAGTTTATTTTTCTTTGTGATGTCTCCAGGTAAAACAACTGAACGGAAAAACTGCAACTTTTGAAATGTTTTTCTTTTATACTAAGGTTCATCATATTGCAGCACAAACTATCTTAGCATTTACTACTTCAAAGTAATAACAATTTAAAACATTCAGAAATATTCTCTTTTATGCACATATCTAATTATTGTTGCAATCTACTTCCCCGAAGTAACAACGAATTTTATTTTTAAACAGTAAGAGAAAACCATTAGTGCATGCTTCACAATATTTATTCTGATGACTTTAATATACCTTTATGTCAGAATTTTAAAATAAGTTATTTAATTGTAAAAACAGACTAATCACCAATACCCTCGTATGGTAAACATATGCAGTCAATAATGTCTTCCATCGTCTAAAAAGCTTTTTTGGGTCTATTAATTATTTAGTGAATACATTCTGACCGTCTACATCGAAAAGTAACTAGAAACTCCATTTGTAATAAAGAATGTTTGCTTTTGTACTTAATTCAATGATAAATAATTATATAGATAAGCTTTTGACAAATTGTTTAAGGGGTAACAGGTTTTAATACACACGAGAGGAAGTGAGGGAGGACTGCGGATATGGAGTGAGGAGGAACAGAGCAGTCTTCTTTCACAATGGAAATAAATTTACTTCTCTCCCTCTGGCTCATTCTGCAAAAAATTAGGAATGCGTTAAAATGATGCTTCAAATTTTAAAATAGGAAAAGTATGTCTGGCCAGCGATAGGCAATTTCAAGATAGTCGATTTTCTAGTGGGAATGCAGGGCGGATATTATAAATATCCATGTTACGTTTTCTTACTGGATAGTAGAGCCGATGCACTTCACTATCACCAGCAGTCAGAGCTTAAGCGGACCGACATTCAGTTAGAAAAACATATTAATACTAAACCGATTGTGGGACATGGCATGGCCTAGAGGTCTAGACCATTGCTTAGCATTCGGAAGGACGCCGGTTCGATTCCGGGTCCGTCTGCCTTGGTCCAAGTTTTTCTGTGGTTTCCTTGGATCACATAGGCAAATGCTGGGGCAGTAATATATATTGTACAGATAATCTTTCATTCTCTTCTGTCTTCATTTCGTCCGTCTCATCTCTCTCACCCGAACCACCACCCACCCATTCCCACGATTCCTGAAAGCAGGCTGAAGAGGGCCTTCCGCCCTACCTTCCGGCGTAGTCCGGAGGGACTNAGTTTGTAAATACTCCTCGTGAATACTGAAGCTTTTAAATATTTAAAGAATTTTTTTTCCTAAATTGTTAGAGGTTAAAATTAAAGCTTTTATTTTCGTCCATTCACAAATAGAGAAAATAACGGTCAGTAATGAATTCTTATAGTTACTGAATATCCACGAAAAATAAGCGTGACACAGCCTTAAATAAGTAATCCATGGCTTCCTTGACAATGTAAAAACTAAAAAAGAACTAAATAGCCTACTTCTAATATTCGTGATAACTTCAGACTTACGGGTTGCAGATTGTCCTTTAAAGTACACATGCTACATGCTCAGTTGGATCAATTTAAAGATAACCTGAGGCATATTCAGAACAGCAAGGGGAATGCATTCCCTAATATGTGATCGACTTTGAATAACGTTATCAAGGATAATGATACAGGTTCGTACTTACGCAAAAGAGATACTAAAAATATTCCTTTTTAACGCTTATAATACAGTCGACTCTCGTTAATTCAAACCATCGATAATTCGAACCTTTCTATAATTCAAAGTTATCACGAGTTCCCTACAAAATCTCTTTATATTTCGAACTAAATCAATACATTTTTATGCACTTGGTAATTCGAACGAAAAAGATCATTGCTACGTAACAAAACGACGCGATAATTCAAACTCATCGGCGTCAAACACTCGACAATTCGAAGTTACAGAGAGAAAAAGACATAAAGATTGCAAGTACATACATTTTGAGGCAAGTTTGAACTTGTATCATCGAACCTTTGTTTTTGTTATGATTAGTTTGGCACACACTTCCGCACGAATTGGTTTGTTTAGTTATGTTTTAGTTATTGTTTCTCTTTCGTTGTATACAGATTAAAAGTTCGAAAGATTAAATTTCGAACCATTTGATATTTCAAACACTCGATAATTCGTAATATTTTTAAGAGTCCCTCGAAGTTCAAACGTGTATCATCGTAACATCGAACCTTTGTTTTTGTTATGATCAGTTTGACACACACTTCCGCACGAATTGGTTTGTTTAGTTATGTTTTAGTTATTGTTAGTTTTTCGTTGTATACAGATTAAAAGTTCGAAAGATTATATTTCGAACCATTTGGTATTTCAAACACTCGATAATTCGTAATATTTTAGAGTCCCTCTAGTTTCGAATTATCGAGAGTCGACTGTAGTGTAATTAAAGCTGTAAAGTAGATTAAGTTCAATATAAAATTCCACAAATTAATCGTATATGCGTTATTATATCAAAACTAAATTCACCGCTAATTAGTTTTGGTAGTGCTGCTTTATTCTGCATTACTGATAAGTATCAGCAGGATATTGCCAAATACGAGCCCTTACAAGACGATGAATTTTGAATAATACGAAAAACGAGAGCAGATTGTGAAATTCGAACCTATTGTACATTGCTCTCCTGGCAGTGTTATAACAATAACCGTATTCCCATTAGCTTCTGCACCATTACGAGTTGCCGTTACAGTAAGTAGAGCGAATTCTGTATTGTAGAGAACATCTTCCGGCAAATCACCGAGTAATATTAAATTAATTTGGTTATTTGAATAATCAAGTTCAAAGAATGTTCTGTATTCTAGAAAACAAAATCTAAATTAAATGCCACACCTAAAAACCAAAATAATTGTGTACCTCCTGCTAAAGAGAAGTTAGTATTTTGGTAATCGTTGTCATTTAAAGTTATCGACGTTTCGCCACTAATACTATCGCTGCCATCTTCATTTACAGTGTACGTTACTAAATAGTACGACGAAGCGAAAACAGGGGATGATACTCCGGGTTCAATAATATTTGATAAATCTACCACAACAACCGTGGTCCCTACATAATCAGCGGTTGCTCGAGATGCCTGGATCGGTACAAGGATATAGGAATTGGTAGTTAGAATATCATCCGGAATATTTCCAGAAAGAACTAAGTTTAGTTTATCCGATTCCGGATTACAACTGAAATAGTTGCTATAATCTACAATAGAAAATGTTACTTTAATAACTTTGTTATAGGGGCTGATTGTTAAATAACCTGGCCAGTAACACATGACATTACCGTCATTTGTATAGGTACAAGGTCTGTTCAAAAAGTAATGCGAATTTTGAATTTCCGCGGGTTACGTATATTAGATTTTTTTGTGGTACCCATGTCTCTCACTTATACCGGCAAGTTCGGCTATATTGAACATTCAGTTAATTTTTGATAGCTTGCACGTGTTTTAGATCGCCTTCGAATTTTGCCTATTCCAAAAAATTGATCAAAGAATCTGTATCAAATTTAGTGTGAAAAACAAAATTAAGTGCGCGCACGCATTCTGAATGTTACCTTAAACCAAAGCAACGTTTATCGGTGGTACAAAATGTTCTCAGAGCTCTGCGAAGATGAGAACGACGAAGAACATGCCGGACGCTCGAGTACGTCAACAACAGACGAAAACATTGACGAAATGAAGAAAATAGTATTGGCTAGTCATCGAATAACCGTTATAGAAGTCTGTGAAGACCTAAACATATTTATTGGTTCCTGTCATTTTATTGGTTCCTGTCATTCGATTTTTACCAATGATTTGGACATGAGGCNGAAGCTTTTAAATATTTAAAGAATTTTTTTTCCTAAATTGTTAGAGGTTAAAATTAAAGCTTTTATTTTCGTCCATTCACAAATAGAGAAAATAACGGTCAGTAATGAATTCTTATAGTTACTGAATATCCACGAAAAATAAGCGTGACACAGCCTTAAATAAGTAATCCATGGCTTCCTTGACAATGTAAAAACTAAAAAAGAACTAAATAGCCTACTTCTAATATTCGTGATAACTTCAGACTTACGGGTTGCAGATTGTCCTTTAAAGTACACATGCTACATGCTCAGTTGGATCAATTTAAAGATAACCTGAGGCATATTCAGAACAGCAAGGGGAATGCATTCCCTAATATGTGATCGACTTTGAATAACGTTATCAAGGATAATGATACAGGTTCGTACTTACGCAAAAGAGATACTAAAAATATTCCTTTTTAACGCTTATAATACAGTCGACTCTCGTTAATTCAAACCATCGATAATTCGAACCTTTCTATAATTCAAAGTTATCACGAGTTCCCTACAAAATCTCTTTATATTTCGAACTAAATCAATACATTTTTATGCACTTGGTAATTCGAACGAAAAAAATCATTGCTACGTAACAAAACGACGCGATAATTCAAACTCATCGGCGTCAAACACTCGACAATTCGAAGTTACAGAGAGAAAAAGACATAAAGATTGCAAGTACATACATTTTGAGGCAAGTTTGAACTTGTATCATCGAACCTTTGTTTTTGTTATGATTAGTTTGGCACACACTTCCGCACGAATTGGTTTGTTTAGTTATGTTTTAGTTATTGTTTCTCTTTCGTTGTATACAGATTAAAAGTTCGAAAGATTAAATTTCGAACCATTTGATATTTCAAACATTCGATAATTCGTAATATTTTAAGAGTCCCTCGAGTTTCGAATTA